GTGAATATTTGCCCAGCTACCGTTCTAAAAGATTATATTTCTGTCACAGAAAGTAAAAGAACGGAAAACATAGGCAAACTGTTCCTCACTTACAAGCCACCACACAGACCAGCCACGACGCCATCAATCAGTCGATGGATTAAACAAGTGCTCTCGGAAAGCAGCACTCGCCACGCCTCTACCTCAGCTGCGGGCCGCGCGGGCCTCAGCGTTGATGTCATCCGTAAAGCTGCCGGATGGACTCCTACATCGAATACTTTTGCGCGATTTTACAATAAAACCCTGGTTGATGAGGGGAACTTTGCAAGATCCGCTTGCTTTACGTCCAATCACTAGTTTAAGATTTTTTCTGTATTCATAAATACAAAACTAATTGTTCAAATTATCGTGATTACATAACGTTTCATGTACCGATCGGTAACTAATAAATATATTCTAAGAAATATATATTATTTTATTACAACGAAAAACTTCCTGCTCTAAAATTCTACCTGGTGAATAATTATATCTGAAAAATGAAGCGATGAAATATAATATAAGATCAAACGAACTTCTCAAGTGAAGTTCGATCATTATTATATGAATCGCTTCATTTGAAGATATAAGCCATTACCCACCCTCCCATAGCAGTAGTTTGCTGGCCCTAATACGGAAAGTTTTTCTCTACACTCTAAAAATAATGAGCTCAGAATGGCGACTCACTCCGTCCCCGAGTCAGCGGTGGTAGGGGTGAGTCGGTTCAGAGCCAACTTTGTTTAGTCAGTTGAGTGTCTTTTAAAGCGTGCAAAGTCACCTGTAGGTTAAGGGCACTACCTGGTGAATAATTATATCTGAAAAATGAAGCGATTCATATAATAATGATCGAACTTCACTTGAGAAGTTCGTTTGATCTTATATTAATTCATAATTTTAATTACAATAAAATTATAATTTAAAAATCTCAGGCTATTATGCAAATATTATCATTTAACTTATTTTACAATTTAATAAATAAATAATCAATATGAGTTACTAATGACTTTTAGAAATAAAATGTCAATTTTCATTAATTCCTTAAACTAAATTTTATATTAATATAATAAATTTGACGAATTTATAATTAATTATGTACATAGGTACTATGTTATCTCAAAAAGAAAATTCGTATTCGTAGAAGATGATGAATTGTGGTTTTTATCGTTGAAACCCCATATAGTTTTTTTCTAATTCTAGCAGTTCTAAAAACTTTATTGTATTTTCATTATTCCACTCGAAAGGCATTTTGGTAGATCGTACTTATTTAATAACGAGACGGCACACACGTCCGTTCATCCTGGCGCTTGGCGCGAAGTGAGCGATGGAGCAGAATGTGAACACTCACTGCCGCTCGCGCTGCCCGTCCTTTGACTTTCGCACGAAAAACCGACATTTGAGCGATCGTCGGGCAGTGGCAGCGGCAGCGGCAGTGTCAGCGCGAGTAGCCCGTTTACAACTGCCCTGCCCACTGCCCTGCTCACTTCCCTGCCCAACAGGGCTGAATGTAAATGGGGCATTAAACTCAAAGTAGGACCTATAGAAGCGTTTCCAATAAAACAAAAATTGTATTAAAATGCAAAAATAATAAGATCAAAATATGTGCAAATATTTATCGTAACACAAAATTTTTCATTCCAGGTGGCTATGCTGTTGTTTACTACCTTATTTTGTAAGAAGATGGAAGAATGTTAAGCATTATTGTCCAAACTGTCAAAGGTTTCTTGGTGTTTACACACGAAGAACGATTTTTTGAAATTGGTAATAATTTTACTGCTCCAGCTTTAAAGACTCATTTTGAGTCAAAGTTTTGATTTAAAGTTAATAGTTGCATTTTAGTGATAATACCGCAAACGAGATAGTTAAGCCTTGTGTCAATGTAATATTGTTTTTATAAACAATAAATTTCAAAATTTTGAAGTAGAGAGTATTGAAATTCTGCATAGACCACCATCACCGCCAAACATTTCTAAACGTACATGCAGGAGCGGAGAAATACCTGAATTTGGTGTGGGCAAGATGAATTTCGCTAGGCCGTCAATAATAATATTTGGATTTCTATTACAACCCATCACTAGTCCACTGCTGAACATAGGCCTCCACAACGTCTGTCTTGAGCCATCTAAATACATCAACATCCTCTATATTTTACCTAGTCGTTCGGCGTTCGTCTAGTGGGGAGTGGGGTCAAATTGTTCTGCTTATCATGAGGCTGCCACTCGGGAACTTTTCTACTCTATGAGTTGTCGGTTCTTCGAGTTAGCCGGCCCATTGTGCATTTATTTTGATACATTGGACGATGTCGGTGACTCTGGTTCTGCTGATATCTTTGATACGGATTCTGTTTCGCAAAGCAACCCAAAACATGGCTCTCTAAATAGCTTGCAGAAAAACTTCAAGCATTTTCCTGCGTCATAAATTATAGGATCATGTCTAGTTTCCATAGGTCATCGCTGGCAACACGCACCGGTTGTACACTCGTGTTTTGAGGTTTATTAGACTACACGAGCGAGTTCGATTTGACCACTTAGTCGAAGTTGGACTTGCCTATCGGGATAATTTCTATGTCCCCAGTTAAAAAGATATAGGTATAAAATTTTACAGGTGACACTAAAACCAATGTGCGATTTACATTGTTTACATGATGATAGCATTCATATTAAAACCCTTAAAAAAATATACCTTTCATACGGTTTCCCATGGATTAAGAAATCGATTACCGATTCTCCGCTCACTTGAAAAAGCTCTGTTGTAATTCTATCGTTACCAAGTACCTTGCCGTTTTTAAGATTCTGGGGAGCCATTCTAAACTAATTCATTATCCTGAGATAATATCGAACGAGATTTGTACTTTATCTTACTCAAAGTATCTTGTAGCCAGCCATGTAGCTCAAGTTGTTGATCTTCAACTTAGACAGTCAACAACCATTACTAAATTTTTTACAGTTTTTAACAAACTAATGGGCCGCTTATTCAGGGTGAACGCGGCCCGCGTTCACCCTGAATAAGCGGAGCAGTTGTTTAATTTTGTCCAGTACTATTTCATTGTAATTCGGGGCAATGTAATAGACTCATCAACCGTTGATGGCAAATCCTGCGCTAAATAGTAGACCGCGAATATTTATATACCATATTTACTATTTACACATTACAAATTTATTTAAAAATTACTTACATATTAAGTATTACGTATCACTCTTTTTACATTTCACGGTGTTGCAGTTTATAAAAATAATATGAAATAACAACATCTTAACATCTTTCGAATTTCCCGGTCCTGTGCTATACGCCAACACATTTTGAAGAAGCGAGTTAACAAATCGGCGCAATGAATTGAGTCAGCGCAAAGTAAAATCCCATATGGTGGCGGTATAAAAATGTCCACCTCTTCTACTACTACTTGCCCTCTCTATCTTCCTGTGGGTGTTGTATGAAGCGACAGCGGGATATTGAGGCAGGAGATGGGCAGCAGCATCTTACTTATAAAAACTTAATAAAAAAGTCCGGTTGCCAACCCGTTTGCCAAGCGTGGCAACTATGCCAAATATACTTCCACGACACTCTTGATCACACCACACCAATCTTGATCTGTCTCCACACTTTAGTTTCATATTCAGTGCTGTCAAGGACGTGTTTAACAAAGCACACAGAAGGCAACTACCGCTAGATAGATTGTATGACATATGCAATTGCATACCTTCGGTGGCTTTGAAAAGGGCCGTTGGGTTTGCTTGAGCGAAAGAAAAAGATATTTACGTACAATACATGAACAAAAGAAAAGCATGAACAAAGTACAAACTATGTACAAAATTAAAAAAAGGGACGCCTGGCAGATGTGAAACATCGAAATTATTTTGTTTAAGTTATATGCATAGAAGAATAGATTACGACAGGAATTAGATATGGTATAATGAGAAGATAAAGCTTTGCAAATTTTTTTACCATAAAATAATGACTATTTATTATATAATTATTTTAGGATTATTCTAGGATTTAGAATGTTTTGGATTAATTTTTAAATAAAATCGAATTAGAAAATGTAAGAATAAAATTTATAATCGTTATAAGTAATATATATTTCCAATTAAATTTCTAATTTATTAAAAGTAATAATAAATTCGCGTTTCAATGTCCTAAATACCACATGAAAACCTTAATCTAAACAGAACTTAGCTAGATTGAATTATAAACATATCACAGAAATATAAATTTAAAACTAATGTTAACAGAAAAAATATCCCATATTACTGTGTCCATACGTGAATATTGATCATAATGTTATTTATTATTTCTTATTGAAAATATTATATATTATGTATCTATATTCAAGACAAAATTATTTTATGTGATCTGTGAGTGAATTTTATTAAAGTGAAAACTTTGAAATCGTGACTTGAAACTGGATGAAACGAATAAGCGACATTAAAAAGAGACAAACATATACGTGAGATAGAATAAAGTGTTTCCTATATTCGTCTAATGGTCGCCACACACGGTCAGTTCAACTGATCATTCCAACTGATCAGTTCAAGCTAAAACTGTTGATATTTTTTTAAATATTGGATTTTCGATATATCGATAAATAAACTTATATATAAAACTCCGATATTGATATATTTACAATTATCGATATATCGAAAATTCAATATTAAAAAAAATATCTACAATTTTATTTTGAACTGATCATTTGGAATGATCACTTGAACTGACCGTGTGTGGCGTCCATAATTCTCTCAAAGCTTAGTTTTTTCAAGGTTTCACTTCTATGTGTGAGGCGTACACATGTTTTTTCCTTTTCCTAACCTTAATACATTTATAATACAATATATTTTAAAACTTGTATGCATTTATGTTATGTGTGAAATTAATATAATGGAGAGGGTGTATATATTACATATTCCAGTTTTTATGTTGCTCTTAATAATTCTTTTAGTTTTTCCTGAAGAATAAATGTACTAAGAGATATATTTATTGATGACGTATTTAAGTCACGAAGGAGTGTAAGTGCCGATAAATGCTCTGCATTTTGGACAAAAGTGATTTGCGGATTTGCACGACCGCATGCAGTATGGAACGAAGCAACCGCAACAGCACCTGTAATGTAAATGTATATAAACTTTAAATAACTTTTTTTATTCATTTACTTCTATTGTTCATTAAATGTTTTCTTATAGGAAAATACTATTACAATTTTATTTAAAACATTAATTCACAATATGAGCATTCTTTAGAATATGAGCGGTAATATACATACATTTTAATTTTCATAATATTTTATGTTAGGCCGTGTAATCTAATCAAAAAGGTAATTGAAAAACAAAACAAAACTAAAAGTTTCATCATTATGTTTTTAAAAATAACATATTTACAACTACGACTGATAAAAAACATAGTAACGACGCTATTTAAATAAAAGTATACTTGTATCAGTCTGTCTGTTAGGTCAGAAAAAGATCAACCGCCTATTTTACTATCTATTTTTTTGGTCAAGAAATAAATAACACAGACATTCTTTAAGAGGCCTAAAACTTACAAATGGCGCTTTGTTTTTTAAAATTGTTAAATATAAAATTAACTTAATCGGATGCTGTAAATTTACGAAGTCGGGACTCTAATTCTTTTAAATATTATACACCTTTGCCACCGAGTTCGAAAAAAAAAGTATTTTTTTCTTCTTTTTAGCTCACTGAATTTGGCTTTTTAAACTTTTTATTAAACGTTATTTTTTACCAACATACAAAAAAAGAATGTGTAGTGGAATTCTAAGCCTCCTGATTTTCTGAAATCGGCTATAAAACATCAATAACAGGGCGAGTCCAAATTCTACAGACTGATGAGGGGTAGAGTATTACAGATAGAGGGCTTTGGCTCTGCGCCATACAACCCCAGTTTAGTATATGCATATATTTTTAAAGAATGCAAGTCTGAAGCAAAGTGATTGACAGAAAAATTGTTATTTGTTAATGTTAATTCATTCCCATGAATTTACTCTTCTTTATCCATTGTAATTACCATATTGATAATATATTTGACTACCTCTTTGGTCTTTAGGTAGTATGCTGTTTGAATCTTGGGTCGGGATAAAATCAGTCATTGGATTATTTTGTAAAGAAATCCTCAGCTCAGAGTCAGAAAGTTAGCGGTGACTCACCCCGTGTCTCGGATAGGAAATATCAAAGTCGTTTGTCCTGCGTCTGATCTCTCTCTGGTCGTGTCGAATTGGAGACTTAACCCTCCGAACTATGGAAAGAGAGAGACAGAGAGTTGTGATTGGGCACGCTCTTGCACAATAGTTCGATGGGAGGCAATCAGACACGGCTGGAGGTCAGGTGTAGGAATAACGACATTAAGTGCTTTCCGAGGCACGGGGGTAAAACACCGCCTTACTTTCTGACTCAAGACTGCTACAGATAATTTCTTGACAGACAATGCACAATGGTGCATTGCTTATCATTAAGATAATTTAGGTGGAACTTAGTGTTGTGTCGCAGTGTGTATTAGATCACGCGGAGTCAGATTTTAATACATTGGGTCTTGCATTTCAGCTTTTCAACCAGTTTACGTAAAATCACAAAGGTACATTTTTTTAAAAGCTCCGTATTATTAACCTTGATGGTGCATTGCTTATCATTAAGATAATTTAGGTGGAACTTAGTGTTGTGTCGCAGTGTGTATTAGATCACGCGGAGTCAGATTTTAATACATTGGGTCTTGCATTTCAGCTTTTCAACCAGTTTACGTAAAATCACAAAGGTACATTTTTTTACAAGCTCCGTATTATTGACCTTGATGGTGCATTGCTTATCATTAAGATAATTTAGGTGGAACTTAGTGTTGTGTCGCAGTGTGTATTACATCACGCGGAGTCAGATTTTAATACATTGGGTCTTGCATTTCAGCTTTTCAACCAGTTTACGTAAAATCACAAAGGTACATTTTTTTACAAGCTCCGTATTATTGACCTTGATGGTGCATTGCTTATCATTAAGATAATTTAGGTGGAACTTAGTGTTGTGTCGCAGTGTGTATTAGATCACGCGGAGTCAGATTTTAATACATTGGGTCTTGCATTTCAGCTTTTCAACCAGTTTACGTAAAATCACAAAGGTACATTTTTTTACAAGCTCCGTATTATAGACCTTGTTGTTATTTACGATAGCTAAGATTCACTTTCAATGTTATATTATTCTCAGAATTAAAAACGAATTTTTATTTCACTTACCCGGTTAATACACAAAGTCCAGCTGATATTATATGTGTACGATTGTTAGCAACGTAATGAACTCTGGTTACGACAGATCTGTTGCAATTTGGGCACGTTATTCCTGTGGGCCCCGGGCCTATTTTTATTTCACTCGATTCTGATTGTGATGTGGTTGGAGCTGATGTGACAACCACTGTACGAGGCTGTGCAGTCGGTGCGGTGGGCGGTGGTGGATTATCACCGAAATAAGACGGCGGTGGCGCTGGATTTGGTATACTGGATTCGTACGGCGGCGGGAGCCCCATTTTGTTTTCCACTGAAAAAATTACATAATACATATATTTTAAGTATTGAATGGGTTTAAGATAGAGATAAAACGGATAGCTGTTTGACCGGACACCGGATATCGGCTATTCGGCCAGTCTTATCGCCGGATAGCCGGATATCCGGCCGCCGGATATTCTGCCGAACATTCCCGTTTGGTGCATCGCAAGAAGCGAAAAGTAGTCAGTGCAAACTGTTCGCGATCGTGACCCTTATATTTGGTGGGCAGGTATTGTAACACAATACCCAAATTTATAAAAGTTTGCCAAAATCTATTTTTCTGTATCCTGCAGCAGTGTGTACAGCGAAAGACTTTTTCCGAAGCTGACCTTGTTTATGAAGACAGCCGAAACCGCTTGTTACATTTCTATGCTGAGAAATTAGTATTTATTCACTATAATTTGCCCTTAGCTACGTAGTACTATTGTTTATTTACTGTGCCCTAGCGCAGTACGATTACTAAGTTTGTAGGTTTTAAAATGAAAATTTTGTGATTAGTGATTATATTTGTTAAGTGACATAAATTAAGTACTTAATTACATTTGATATTTTTGTGTTTTTTAAAATCCGGTATCCGGCCGGATAGCTGCATGTTATTCGGTATCCGGCCGGATAGTAATTTTAGGCCGGATAGGCCGAATACCGGATAGTTACCGGATAGCCGTTTCATCTCTAGTTTAAGAATTCGAAATTCTTTAGAATATGAATCAAATATTTTAGCTAGGGAAAACTAGCAAATCAATGATTACAGTTCCTCTTTCTTTATAGTATATAGGTGACAAACGAGCACACAGTCCACCTGATCGTAAGTTGATACTGGGGTCCATAGATATCTACAGTTAACCTCGATTAAGAATCAAATTGCAGATGCGTTGTCATCCGTGAGAACTAAGATGGTATGCCTCGTTTCCAATAAAATGGGTCTTCACACTCACCATAAGGTCCGGTTTACATTTTGAGAAGTGACAAGTGCGAGTGGCAAGTGAGAAGTGGCAAGTGAGGAGAGACAAATGCGTATTTTATTCCCATTTATCACTTGTCACTGGCTATTCAAACGCACTAAGCACTTGTCATTTGTCAGTAGCACTTGCCATTCGCACTTGTCAGTTCTCAAAATGTGAACCGGGCCTAAGAAATACATCAGAATTATACTGCTATTTTACGCTGGTATTCGGTAGGAGCATGGATCCACTCCAGTCAAGCCAACCCATTCGTGCTTCAACCATAATATAGCTGCAGCGTACCTCAACCACTTATAAATGGTAAGTAATGATATTTAAAATAAAGAAACCTAAAGAGGAGCCGAAGAGATAGAGATATAGATAAATTGTAGAATCGACGATTTTTAAAGTAGGCATCTTAAGCAGTAGTAGGTAGTAGCTAGTAGGTTGTGGTAGGTATCTTAGTGAGTAGGTAGTTAGTAGGTATCTTTTATTGGAGACCGCGTATCTCTTAAAACGCAGTTTCAACTCCTGGCTACCGATTGTAGCCAGGAGGTGAATAACCTACGCTGGGTGAATAACGACTTAATGCTTTAGACGAGGGAACCCCTTATCAGATTAGTACAGATTGGTACTAGCCTGGATGTTATAGAGTGAAAGCTAGTATAATTGTGAATGCAGGTGTTCGTATTTATCCGTAATGAAGGAAAGGAAGTTTTATTTAAAATAGTGAAAACATTACATACACATTTAAATATTTCAATAGGTATTTTTTTAATAATAATAATTTAATTTAGAGCCTTGGTTAATCCTTTTTTCATAGGATAGGGTAACGAACAAGCACATAGTCCATCTGATGGTAAGTGGTTGCTGTGGCCCATAGACATCTATATCTATACTCGATTACGAATCAAAATGCAGATGCGTTGTCACCCGTGAGGACTAAGATGAAATGACTCGTTTCCAGTAAAAAGGGTCTCCGGTTCTCTACACTCACCATACGAAACATAGCAGCATTAAGCTACTATTTTACGCTGGTATTCTTTGAGAGCGTGGTCCTTCCCCGGTCGAGCCGATCCATTCGTGCTACAACTATACTACTAATATAATTGCAGCGTGGCTCTACCACGCATCAATTATAATCCGAATTAAACTCTTCAAATTGGATGAATTTATGTATTTATTTAGGTACGTCAATCGCGTTGACGGTGCGTTGAATATACAATATCTTTTGCGCAAAGATGACGTAGCCTGATATGAGAACCGGTTACACACACACACATACACATAACTCACGCACAGTAAGAAAAAGTGAAAACAAATACATTTAACTTGTAATTGTTTTGAATGTATCTAGACTAGATTTTTGCTGGTTCTAAATACTTAAAGTTGATTCGTATGCGTGAATGTGTGTTCTTAAATCATGATTTGCGCATCGCTGGAAATGTAATATTATGTCTATCTTTCTTTGTTGTTCTGAGTGTTTGGCAAATAAATTATGTATTATAATATATCGAAATGGTTTCGTGTGCTCTGCATCAAACCATTTTAAATCATTTTAAATTATTTACCTTAATCATCATAATATGATTTAGCATTGTGATATCGTTCTAATTAATGTTCTTTTAAAGCTTCGTATTCACTAGGACTGAAGTGCTCAATTGTGCTTTAAAATATTTAAATGTTTCCATATGTACTTATTAATAGATGGCAAATAAGTATCTATCTAAATTTTTTAAACGCTGATAACGTTTTTATTGATGTCTTTTTATTCTGTTCCGCTACGTTATTATAAGTGTATGACCATGTAGTCTTCTAGATTAGTCTTTGCAACTCTAACAATTTGTAATTGTTTATTACTTAAATATGAAATTTTCTTGACCATCAATCAGAAAGCTGTCTTTTATTTCGTTTATAATTTTCAAGCTTCATGACATTTTATTCTAAATGAATACATTTTTAATTTAAAAAATCAAAATGGGTTGCCTTTATTAAAAATGATTCTATGTTAAAAATGATAAAATTAAATATGTATCTTAGAACTATTTAAATTAGTTGAATGATTAAATTTATGTTGTAATAATACTGCCCGCGCTATTCAGGCCGTGACAACAATACTGCGTTAGGCAATACCGGAAAATAATAACTGTTATATCTGCAAACTAGCATTTGCACGCGATTTTTCCTAACTTGATTATTTTATACATTTGTCTTAACATACATGAGCTTTTCGGAGAGTTTTGAACTGATTGATATAAAAGTAAAGTTACAGCCTATATATGTCCCATTGCTGGGCACAGGCCTCCCCTCATTTCTGAGAGGGTTTTAGGGCAAGGAAGTGTCCGCACGCAGCCCCAATGCGTGTTGGCGAACTTCACATGTCTTCGATAGTAATTTTTTTTCTTATTCCTCAGACATGCAGGTTTCCTCACGATGTTTTCCTTCACCGCTGAGCACGTGGTATATCAGCACTTAAAATTGCAATTAACAAATTCATTGGTGCCGGCGGGGATCGAACCCGGGTTACTCGCGTTTTGTTATATTTAGAGCGAGCGTTAACCATCTGAGCTACTACGGCTCGGATTGGTATACTATTAAAGATTTTCTATTACAATCGAGGTTTAAAGTTAAAAGCTCAAGTGAAAATTCATATAACATATTTTTTTTTAGCTTTTATGAGGGTAAATAATTTGCTAATATTGATGACCTATTAGCATTGTGAATATTAATTTTTTTTGGAAAAGTGATCTTAGGTCGGGACTGACTGGGGTTATGATTGAGAATGTTCTCATGGTTGAGTGGTTTGACGAAGTAGCTCAAAAGCGACAAAACAAGATGATCACAAAGCGGTTATTAGTAAATGATAGTAGTAAATCAAGTTTTAGCCTGAAGAAGTTATAGATATGACGCCAGTCCAAAAAGCAGAACTCGTTGCATTTTTTTTCCACCAAGACGTCATCTCATAATTCTTCTGTTCACATGACCACTAGAGCTTTTAAATATTTAGCTATTATGTGCGTTTAATTTTTTAGGTATATTGCATATTTGGATTTGGTGATATATTTCCCGCCATGGGCGATAATTTCCTAATAACTTAATGAAACAGTCTAGGTGCTAAGAATGATTATGGAACGGCCTAGGTACATATAGGTCAGAGTACCCTGGTTATAACATTGTGGGTCTAAGTTAAGTTGTGTTGTGATGTTTTGTAATTACTGTATCGCTTAAGTTAATGTTACTCCGGTTACAGATAGGTTACAACGAAAGAGTGCCTCCGTAGTTGTACTAACAGCTCCTACGTATTTGATAAATTCAGATTAGAAACCGTGACATAAAATCGGCCAGTGGGACATCATACTGTACCGTAACTTTCGTTGTAACTTATTTATAAGTACTGCGTTGTTATAGGCGAGCAAATGAACAATAAAATGATATGCAGTGTATCAATGAACTGTTCATGTTTAATTTACGAGCTCACATTTATGTTAAAATAACAGCTTTGAGCTAAATGCGTATGAAAGTACATATGGTACCTATAACAAAAAAACAATTCTTTAAATTTTTGTATATCAGTCTGTTTGTTTCGGCTAATCTCCGAAGCTATATCTAATTAATATTAGATATCTGGCAGTGAAGCGTAAATTAGACTACTTTTATTAAAAAAATTAGGGTTCCGTGCAAAATACTCAAAAGCCATGAAATCTAATAACATCAAATTCCACGCGGACGAAGTCGCGGGCACAGCTAGTTATGTAACATAATGTCGAATGATCTAGCGCGATAGTTACTTATATATATTAACTATAAGTAATATCTTATATATGTTGTTAAGTCACTATTAGTCAAAACGTCAAAAAATACCGGTCATACAACATTTCTGTAGTTAGGTTAAAACAATCGTGCTTAAATACTTTAACACGTGTTTTTGTAAATTGTGTAATCAATTATTTACCTCATAATTAAAAAATAATGTTAACGTGTCTTATTACTTCGTTTTTGGATTCAAGGCTATTTGCAAATGAATTTCTAATTGTTTTGATTTGCGATGTTTTACATTCTGTAGGAAGATACCTATGTAGGTCTACTAACTACGGCATTTAATAATAATTAGAAAGCAATTTTTATTCAAATTTATATTCATATTAATACTATTTATAATTTATATCTTCTATTTTTTACCCCTGAAATACACCATTTTAATAAAAAGTATATTATAAATCGGTGAATATACAGTAAAAAAATTGTCGAACTCTGTAAAAATTACTATAAATAAGAGATAATAAACATAAAGAAACAAGGAATGAAGATACAGAAAAATAATGAATCCAAAATGAATGTTGTAGTTGTAGACAGATATAGATTTTATCGTGTTAAGTATACGAGTACCTCACAGTAAAACAAGATTTTGTCTCATATAGAGGTTCGATTTACAAGAGAAATGTTACTAAGGAGTTACAAATGATTTTATATTTTTCCATGACGTGGCCAATACTTTATGATGAATACTTAAGCATTTTCATTATAAATATCTGATATTGCTGTACTTACTTGTTGCGTCCATTATGATGAAATTTGACCTTCGCTAAAATTTCTTAATCCCGCAAATTGGGGCAACGTAAGCACGTCGCGATTATTTTGAATATCTTTGTTAATAGATATATATGCACAATCACTGTCACAATTTTTTTTATAAAATTATTATCTATTACTTGTTTGACGTATAAAGTTAAGACACAAAATTTTTCTGCGGTGTACGTTGTTTACTTGGTGACGCTGCGCGGGAGTGAATGCACTTAACCTGCGCGCGCGCTACGCTTGCTTTGAGTAACAGAGATGAATAGCACCTGTTCTTATGTGTGAAAAGGATAGCCTCTGAAGCGGCACAGCCTCGCTGAACCCTTTCCGCAAAGCGTACGTCAAGTAGCGCTTGCGCCTGCCCAGATAAACAAGCAATCATTGAACAATGCGCAATATTGTACAAATAAGTAGATGATATGATGCGTAACTTTTGGCGACTTTGGTGATCTAATATTTTTATTTTTAATATAATAGTTTTCTCTGCTACAGTCAGTTGCCTTTCGACTTCCGGTTAAATTGAAAGAAATGTTGGTACCCGTAATGATTGAACTTTCTTTGGCGGTGCCACATTTCCCATTTTTTTACTTCATTCTTTTGATTTCATATATCTTCTCGAGGTATTCTATTTTAGTCCTCAGGGGTGCCCACGCATCTGCATTTTTATTCTTAAAGCGAGGATTGATGTAGATGTTTGTAGGCCACAGCAACGACTTACCACCAGTTGGACTGTGTGCTCGTGTATCACACTTATTCTATATGCAAAAAAAATTACTAAACATAAATTAGTTTTTTTTAAAAGACGTTATTAAAGTACAAAAGTCGTAAGTAAAGTCTTGTTAAACAAAATAGCGCATGTTTATGAATATATACAGGTTTCTAATAAAATCATGCTACCGTGAGATTTGACACTAAGAAATACGCAGTCATTACATTCTTCATTAAAAATACTAACAATCGTTTCTAAAAGCCCTGTACTCAATTTTTGTCAGAGAAACTCAAAGAGCAAAACCAGCGTTAAACTCGCTATTCTTTTTTACTTCTAGACCACCTGCTTTAAATATAATATGACATTTTTGTAATCTTTTAATATGATTACTTTAAAGTCAAACAGCGTCAATTCTGATATTAGCTAGGTAAATGCAAAGATAATCTTTGGGTAAATGCACATAACGTTATAAGTATTGATGAATACAACGGTTTGTGACTAAACTGACATAGACTGGGTACACAATACTCTAGCTGTAGCATACACTTAGTTTTAAAAAAGGCGAACTTACTTTCTTAGTCACTAAATGGAAAGTTGATAGTGAGAGTAGTGCGTGACAAAGGAGCTGATGGGTGGGTGGCTCACACAACATTTTAAGTAGATATATAAATATACAAATTTGAACTAATTTGTTGCTTAAACGATCTGTAATATTAAGTACGGTAGTGAATAAATAGTAAGATTTAGCTGCCAACTGAACGGAAAATCAAATTTCGGTGTATTTTTCCGTTAAGTTTCCAGGCGTGGTTTAACCTCTTGACATACTTGGACATGCTCAATTTAGTTTGGTGCAAAGTGAAATGAAATGAATGACTTTTATTCAATATAGATTATTGTAAAATATAGTACGTGAGAGCAACATGGTCACCAGGATAATATGGTCACTTTCTTATAACTTAAAAACAACAGCCTTGTTTGAATAGGATATATCGGCCAATCAAATAATAAAGGCTCAAAAGGGCTGCTTTATCGACGCCACTTTGACAGTTGATATCATAGTAAATATTTTAGTCGATTTTAGTATGATGTAGTGCAGTTAGTTTTTTTAAGTTGATTTTTCGTAGTGTTCCTAATATTGCCAAAGTTTGTTGTCTCCTAGTTTTGGTTTTATAGGGTGGAAAAGCTTAAGAAGACTATATTACCCTCACGTACCTTACTTATTGAAAGTCATTTTTTTATTTATCAATGGTTCGGAAAAAAACTCTATCCTGGGAAGAACCAGCAAGAAACCCAACGAGATTTTCCCCCGTGACCATGGTTGCCTGGTAGTTTTTTTATAGGTGATCATCTCATTCCTGGGGGTTATTTATTAATCTATGTATTCTTTTCAAATATATTATCCCTTTTTGTAAAATTTTTCTTTAATAACAGATTTAAACTTGTTTAATGGCAAATTTTGTACATTTTCTGGGATTTTGTTGTAAAAGCGTATATGGAATAACTAATTCTGTGGAGTCAAGTAACTGGTATTACAAGCTTATGATTGTTCTTAGTGTTTAAAGTAAGTACATCTTTATTCATGAAAGCTATTTATGTTTCGTTTACATACATTACATTTTCATAAATATATTGTGATGCCAAAGTTAATATGTTTATTTCTTCAAATTTTTCTGTAAGGGACTCTTTACAATTTAAGTTATAAATCGCTCTTTTGCAAAACTAATATGACTTCAATGTCAGTCGCATTACACCATAGTAAGATTCCATAAGACATTACGCTATGAAAGAAACTAAAATAAACTTATCTAGCAGTCTTAGCATTGGTGAAACTTCTAAAATTTTTTACAGAATATGCTGCAAAACTATGTCTGCCTGCTAATTTAGAAGGTTCGCGTCAATAGTAATACCAAGAAAAACATTGGTATCCACAAGACTCAACTCTTCCAAATTTAAGAGCACATTAGTATTTGAATATTTAACCCTGCAATCCCCATAAATCTGTCCATCCCCATCCCAATCCAATCCCATGCAGTCGCATGCGCCTGGCAAATCCCGAGCGGTCGCATGCGACCGCACCCACCCACAGCGTTTAAAACCATTAAAACTTATATTTAGAGACTTATTTTCTATGAAGAAGTTTGGCATTATAAAATCTATATACAAAATTTTCTATCCTGTGGTCTAAACAAAAGTCAGGTTTTACTTCATTACAAAAAGATTTTATTGTATTTTGATAACCTTCGACCAAAACAAAAAAAAAAAACCAAGTGGATGTGGGCAGCGTGAAAATCACAATTATTTTTATATATTACTCGAAGTTATTTACGTAAAAAGATAAATCATATTCACACAAAAACTTTTATAACAATTTTATAAAAAAAACCTATGGAAAAACACTAATAAAACACTATAAAAATCCATAAATGAACACAACAACATCCAAATGAAAATTGCGTACGTAATGAACGTAGAATATAAACTAATATCCATAGACCAACTTTTTTTATTCCACTAGAAGATAGAAATTTCATATTGATTCTATAATGCCAAACTTTGTCAAAAAAAGTAGTCTCTAAACATAAGTTTATGGGTTAAAGTGCTGTGGGTGGGTGGGGTCAAATTTGACCGCTTGAATTTTGACGGAATATCGAAGCGGTCAAATTTGGACATTTGGCGTTTGAGCGGTTAACATTATTAAAAATTGTAAATTTTCATTTTGTCTTATTGTCATTTAAGAGCAAATTATTAGCGTTAAAATTGTGTATTAGCTTCGATAGAGCATTATTTACACTGTCGAAATTAATTGACTGTCGATTGAGTTTGAAAATTAAAGAGGTATCATCAGGAAATAATGCTATATCGTGATTGTCCCCTACAAGATAAGGTAAGTTGTTTATATAGACTAAGAACAGGAATGAGGAACTGAGGAACACCCATTGATGCTACTGATCCGGAGGAACCTTTACCATTGATAACGACTTTTTGAGTTCTGTTATTTAAATATGAAATAATAAGTCTAAGCGCAATATTTTGGACACTGTAATGTTGTAGTTTCCTGATTAATATCTCATGATGAACATAATCGAAAGCCTTGGAAAGATCACAAAAAATACCTAAGGCATCTAATGAACTCTCCCAGGCATTAAAAATATATTTCATAAGCTTGACATAAGCGTCAGTCGCCGAGCGACCCCTTGTGAAACTAAATTGAATTTTTATGGAGTAATTTAAAAAAAAGTTAACGTTTGATCTAAAATTATCATTTCAAAAAATTTACTGAAAATTGGCAGTACAGAAATAGCTCTAAAATTAGCGGGGTCCAATGTACTACCAGATTTAAATAGTTTCATTAAATCAGGAAATACACCAGATTCGATACTAGTATTAAAAATAATAGTAAGATGAGGTGCAATTAAATCTATTATGGACGTAATAGCTGTAACGGAAATCCCCCATAAATCTGCGGTTTTCTTTACATCAAGGTGTTTGAAATATTGTATAATATCTTGTAGTAATACCCAAACTCATCGACTGTCCCGTGGAGCTGATCCCTTTCCTTCAATATATCTGTATATTCCCCATGTAACTTAACCATATCACTCTTCAACTGTCTACTTTTAGAAATTATACTTATTATTTCCTTTTCATTGTCATCCCTTTCCTTAACAGCTCACACTGTTCCCTGGACGCCTTGAGTTCTTGGAGCGCAAGATGAAAGTTGGTTCTACGTTTGACGCGTTTTGGCGTTGCGAGTATTCATTATACCATGTATTTTAAATAGTAAAAAAACAAAGATAGAAAATTAAGCGAGCAGAGTAAGGAAATATCTAATTGTAAGACTCTAATTACAGATCTCAAATTAAATTATCAAGAAAACAATTCAAAATGAAATTCGAAAACAGGAACAACACTTAAGAGATATATCGTAAATATTAAAAGGGATAACAAGAATTACAGTAACTTTTAAACGATGTTCGTTACCTGCTGTCATTTTAAATTGAGATACTAAAAATTATTTATTTAGATACCTATTTAACACTTTTATTTATTACACAATAAAATTTGTTCGTAATAAACAACTATAACTTAAATTTTAGGTGAAAATTATCATTAACAAAATTTATTTTTACGAAATTATTTGTCCAGAAAAAAAAAACCGTATTTTGCACATCCTGCATGTGCATCGATGCTTCTAACCACTTATACTGATTTTACAGAAACGTCGAGAATTAAAAATGAGTTAAAATAAGTTAATTAAACGCGATAAAATCGGTATAAGTGGTTTTATTCACTGTGTACTCTTCGCGTAAATTTAAGAAATCATTAGAAAATAATTTCTTATATTTACGCGGACACTACACATTGATTAAAACTACTTTTACGGATTTTATCACATTTAATTTAAATTATTTTAACACCCGAGGTTTCGGGTGCTTTCCAGCACCCATGGTTACGGGGGACTATGTGACTGACGTCCAGATGTCATTGTTAACGCTTAGTACCTTCAGCTTTTTTAATTACTATTTATATTACAATCTACGCAGAATGAACTATCTGTGTCTTGAAGTCTTGCAGTAGTATGATTGGGTTTAGTTTTAATTTTATTAATTACAGGGTCTCAAGTAGGTGATAGTACCCAGGCTCCTTCTCTATTGAAATTAGGATGTTTTTTAATTTCAATAGCCTTACGTATCATCCTTGTAGGAATCATGTTCTTTCGCGAGGATTTGAGGTTTATCAAATCTGATGTAATGGTTGGGACCGCCTAGGATATGATCACAAACTTCAGACTTTCCGGAACATTGATGCTTCACGTCAGCTACATGTTCTTTTACGCGGGTGCTAATTGATCTTTTTGTTTGTGCTCTGTATAAGAGACCACATTCACAATCAAGCTTGTACACTCCCGCATCCTGTAGAGGAATATGACACTTGACAGATGGTAAGAACTGACTAATGTTCTTCGGCGGCTTGTAGAATGTTCTAATAGAAGCTCGCTTCAGGATGTAGCCAATCTTCACCTCAACCTCAATAATCACCTCTGACGTACTTTAGCAGGCACACGCCCGACTGTGGCCGGCTTCACTCGGTCACTGTGACGTCGGCGTGGGACCCGAACTTTGTTGTCGTGCAGAACCTGCTTGACGTGCTGAAGCTCGGCGGCCAGTTGTTTGCTGTCACAGATCCCTCGTGCTCTCTGAAAGAAAGATTTTCCCACGGTAGCTAACTGTGAAGGAGTTTGTATGGGTCTTTTTTCCATACACAGTGTGACCTATAGTGTTGTTAGGATTTCGGATGACTAACACATCTAAGAAAGCTAAGGAATTATTTGCCTCTAACTCTAACCATAGTAAATTGAATTTTAGAGTTTATGAGATTAAGATGTTCTAAAAATGCAGTTACTTTGTCTGATGGTAAAATTATGAAATTATCGTCTACGTACCGCTTGTACAACCTTGGCGTAACAGGTGCAGCAAAGAGAGCTTTCTCCTCAAAGTCTTCCATGAATATATCGGCGACAATGGGAGATACAGCGACTTACAGATTGGCTCAACACTTAGCTAAAATACTGTCATCACTCAGAGGATACACAAAAGCACACACTAAGGATTCATACCATTTTGTCAGTGAGATAAAAGACCTACGTCATACTGACAACGAAACCATGGTCAGTTTTGATGATCAGTCTCTATATGCATGCCTAGCTGTTGAAGACTGCATCTCGTATATATTATAACGAACTTATAACTACGAAACTAGAGGAAAATAACATGCCAGCAGAATATGCAGTACTACTCAGACATTGCCTTACATCTGGCTATCTATTGTGGAAGGAAGAGTTTTTCAAGCAAGTAGATGGTGTTGCGATGGACTATTGTGTTCCGTTCTGAAGAGTATAGAAAACCTGTATGATTACGGACTGTAAGGCGTTTCATCTTGGTCCTTGGAGGCAACAACGCATCTGTTACCTTCCTTACTTGAAGTTGGTTGCAAGTAGCCATGGGTTGCAGCAACCAACTAACATTAGGTGACTATGAGTTTGTGTGTCATTTCGGTTCTATTAAAAAATCTTTCAGTTCCATACGAATTTATTCCATGAAATTCGTGACTTGAATGCGCTGTTGATCGTCCATCATGGGCGAACTACAGAACTAAAATCAAGTGCTTGAGTACGTGTGAACGATCATCATGATTATTACAGTCCTACACAAGTCTACTGTAGAACATAGAATGCCTCAAAGCAGCACCGTGCTCCCATCAAGCCACTTGTATCCAACGACTTCCTGCGTATCTTACCAGATAGTCACTCCATTTAGTGGGGGGACGCCATGTGAAAAATAGACATAGCTAAATTAAAAACTTGCTTAAAGTGTTCGAAATTTAAAAAAGTTAAAGTTACAGCCTAAATACGTCTCACTGCTGGGCACAGGCCTCCTCTCAATTCTGAGAGGGTTCTAGGGCAAGGAAATGTCCTGTACTGTCCTGTGAAATATTTGGCTTCACATGCCTTCGAAATATTTCTTCCTTATTTCTGAGACATTCAGGATTCCTCACGATGTTTTCCTTTACCGCCGAGTACGTAATAAATCAGCACTTAAAATTGCGATTAACAATTTGATTCGTGCCGGCGAGGATCGAACCCGGGTTGCTAGCGTAGGAAACGTTAGAAATTTACAGCAACGTTTAGCCCCTGTACTACTACGGCTCTTCATATATTGTTAAACATATTTTAATTACTATATAGCCTTGGTGGTCTAGTGGTTGTAGTAGTGCGAATGCTGACCATGGGGCCCTGGGTTCGAATCCCTGGTCGGGCCAAAAAATCAGTTATTGAGTTTTTCCGTCAAGAAATTCTCAGTAGCTGCCCAGAGTCAGGAAGTTGGTGGTGTCTTACTCCCGTGCCTCGAAAAGCACGTAAAGCCGTTGGTCCTGCGCCCGATCTCTCTCCGGTCGTGTAGGTTTACCGTCCCATCGGATTACGAGAGTGAGGGAATAGAGAGTGCGCCTGTGCTTGCGCATACACTTGGGCACTATAATCCTGTCCTACGCCAATGTCTAGTCTCCGTTGAGGCTGGCCGCCGTGAACGAATTTCGGTCTGGAGGACATTATTATTATTAGTGCGGTGTAAGAATATCCACTACCCCATATCGTCCCGTGGATGTCGTAAGAGTCGACAGAGGGAGACAGGTAGGAGATGGGCAGCAGCATCTTCCTGATGACAACTTAAAATAATAGAACACTGCGGTTGCCAACCTGTCTATTAAGCGTGGCGACTATGACAAATGGGGCACCTGTAAGGCAATATATGGGAGTGGCCATGTTCAACAGTGGCATTTATAGGCGGTAGTGGATGGTGACGATTTATAGTGTTTGTCTGTTTTGTCTAACTGACTTACAGTGTGTCAGACTAATCGAAATCAATCAACTGCAAAGGGGACGTAAACGTAATAGTGCTACAAGTGTACTCGCAAATACGGACACATTTCTGTTAATAAAACGGGTTTAACAAAATAAAAACACTAAATATTTGCTCTACTGAAAAGTAGAAGAAAACTTTAAAACTTTACAGAGACTTTTTGTAAGATAAGGGTGAAAAATAAGCACACATTCCATCTGAAGGTAAGTAATTGCTGTGGCCCATAGACATCTATATTTAACCGCGATTAGGAATCAAAATCTAGATGCGTTGTCACCCCTGAGTACTAAGATGGAATTCATCGATACCAGTAAAAAGGGTCTCTCGGTTCTATACACTCATCATACGAAACACAGCAGCGTTAAGTTGCTATTTTACGCTGGTATTCTGTGGGAGCATGGTCCTTCTCCGATCGAGCCGCACCATCCTTGATACAAGTATATGCCACTAATAAAGCCGCAGCATGTCTCTACCACGTATACGCTTGGTATTTCTCAATTTCATTTCTTCAAGTAACGCCATCTGTGTAATATTAGAATAGATATAAACTTCACTTAAGGTTTTGAAAAGCTTTGGGCGGGCGTAAGCTCAGTGGTAGCCGTAAGAGGGCGGGCGCGGCGGCGGGCGGGTCCAAGGTGCGCGCGCAAGGTTACATAACGGCAGTAGAGCCCGGGGGCGCGCGCAGCTGGGTGCGGGACGCGGGGCGCGGGGCGATCGATGCGTACCCGGGGGGAGTCAGTCGAGCGGCGAGCGAGCGACATGGCGGCGCGCCCACCCCGCGCGGCGGCCCCGCGGCCCGGGCCGCGCGAGTAGGTCGCCATGCGCGATGCGGTATGAGGCAGCGCCGCGCCCGGCGGGCCGGCCCCCGCTAGCGGCGCCGCCCCCGCCATGCGAGCGCCGCCGCTGCTGCTGCTGCTGCTGATGGCGGCCGCGGGCCTGGCCGTGAGTCCGCTCGCGCGCCTCAACCCCTGGCTGAGCGCGTGCGACCTGGAGGAGGAGGGCGCGAGCGGCGAGCACGAGTGCGGGCGAGTGCGTGCGGCGTGCGGCGGCGGTGGCGGCGGCGGTGGCGCGGCTGAGGCCGAGCCCGAGGCACTGGCGGGGCGCGACGTGCCGCACCTGTGCGCGCTGGCAGCGGGCGCGCGGGCGCGACGCCTCGCCGAGCTGCGGCTGCGCGCCTGCTGCGAACGCTCACCCGCCTCCGCGCTCGACCGCGGCGCGCGCGCCGACGTGCTCGCCGGCGGGGACCGCTGCGAGCGCACGCTACGCGATCTCCTTTCCCTTGACGCGATGGTCGCGCGCGTGCACTGCGATTTCGTCAGCATCCTCGATCGCTACGACTGCGACCAGCCCTTCTCAGTACACACGTGTCACGAGTGCCAGGTGAGTGCCAGCGTGTAGTACGTAGTTATAATGTTACAGTCATATATTAGTGTAACAGTGGTACACATTTACCATATAAACGGTGTTCAATTCATATACCTACCTATAGTGTGGTAAGTAAAGAAATGAATACTATAATATGTACAAAAATGTTGTTTGTTAGCAAAGTTTACAAAAATAAATCATGAATCGATCACAAGTATTGAGACAAATCAATTCAAAGAGAGGTAAGAATTTGTGTAGAGTTAAATTGACGCCCCACGAGCACACCGCGTGACTCGCGTCGCTGGTTATATGCGTGTATCGATCCAGCTGAGTAAGTCACATTTCATAAGCATGTAAAACAGATGATGAAGATAATACTATATTACACCTATTCAAAACTCGACATAACAAACCAGAAGAAAAAAATATTGCACAATTTAATAACCACTTTAAATTGTTATATTGTATATTAACCGTTCCTGATATCGTTAATCATGTAACCAGTTTGTAAAAACTAGTGGTATATGTTTATAGATATAGGTTGATCAAAAGAAAATAAATATTTAAAATAAAATCATCAAAAAAAAGGTCTATGAAAGTAAAAATGACCTAAGAATGAAAATCTACATTAACCTTAAAACCCTAAAATAGGTATTTCCTTATTTAGTCATTTAACTTTTACGGTCATATTATATTTTAAAAAAAAAGAAAGTAAAAAACGTAATCACTTAATAAAAATTTATTTTTGTTTATTTGATAGTTCCAAAACAAAAACAAAGTAACTAAATATCAGTTTGTTACTTCAAGTATACAAGTTTGAAATACAACATTTTGTTATATGATGGGCACGACTCCAACAGTCAAATGCACTTTGTTCCACTGCGGTCATAGTTACGATTTTTAGAGTGTTTGTGGCATTTCAGAAATATTAATAAATCTGTTGAACCATTATTTTATAATTTTTGGAAATTAACTTTATAATGAAATAAAATTTATTGATAGGTACTACTGATTAATTATTATAATACATAGTGAAAAATGGATTTCATACAGGGGTCTCCAGATGCCTTCAGATGTCTTCATCAACATCATTAAACCCCATACAGTGTCCCTAGCTGAATTAGACTAAAGACTGCCGCTAAACATGGCATGGAGCTATGTGTATCCTTCGAATTCCTGCATATGGTACTGAAAACCTTTCCTCCTCATAACTTGTTGATTCTACCACTTTTTAACACTACAGAATATACTGTTAATCAGCTCCATAGTTTCTCTAGTTTTACTGCGGATAGTTTAGTAGTAATGGATTCTTTTAAAGAGCTTTCATCATAGATCGCTGAGCAACTGGAAGCTTACTCATACGGCAAGCAGCGAAAGGCATCATTTTGAATCCATAGCCTGTCGCTGCCAACATCCATTGATTATACCACCACACATACACAACCTCATCCACTGGTATTGGTACAATTTTGTCTACAAATATCAACCTCATCTAAACATTTTTCCTGAGAACCCCTTTTACTGGTAACAAAAGTTTCCAATTTAATCCTAAGAGGTGACAGTACATCTATATTTTGATTCTTAATTGAGGATAAAAATGTAGATGACTACGGGCACAGCAATTGCCTACCACCAAGTGGAGGACTGTGTGCTTGTTTGTCACACTTGCCTCTATAAAAAAATGTTAATCTCTTCTGCACGCGATGCACCCTTCTATATCATAAACGAGGCTCCGTCGATGGCGGAAAACCTATTGAAATGATAAATCCAAACCTAAAAGGCTGGTGGTGTGAAGCGACGCTGCACAGCCAATGTGTGTGAATCATTTCTGTGCTCATTGATCTGCTAGCTCATAGTGGGGAGTATGAACTTAAATAAGTTAAATAAAATTGAAGTAAATAGAAAATCGTAATTCTTAATCTACTATGATCAATTTAAAATTTCTTGTTTTAATGTGTCTAAAATGTCAAATATAAACAGTATGGTTTCGGTGTAAGAATATCCAATTCCCCTTGTACGTGGTAGGTAGTGCCTCGCTGCCGCTATATGTATGTATGTAGCAAGAATGGGTCGGCTCGACCTGGGAAGGACCACGCTCTTACAGAATACCAGCATAAAACTAGCAGCATAGTGCTATTGTGTTTCGTATGGTGAGTGTAGAGATCCTTTTTACTGGAAACGAGGTATTCCATCTTAGTCCTCAGGGATGATGACACATCTGCATGTAGGTACTTAATCAAGGATAGATGTAGATGTCTATGGGCCACAGCATTTATATACCATCGGGTGCATTATGTTAACACTTATTCAATAAAAACACCATATAGTCCTGAGGGTCTCGTAAGAGAACACATAGAGAAACTGAAACAGTAGATGAGTAGGATTATCTTTCTGGTAACACCACAAAATTATAAAACTGCGGTTGCCAAACTACCAGCAAAGCGTGGAAACAATGGTGAAATTCACTCAATGAGGCAATGTATGAGAGAGGCCTAAGTTCAGTACTGGACTTTTATAGGATGTAATGACAAATATTTAACTATGATATCATCATCATCATCATTACAGCCCTTCTCAAGTCCACTGCTAAACATAGGTCTCCCCCAAAGAATGCCAAAAAGCATTGTCCGGAGCCACTTGCATCCATCGACTTCCTGCTTGTCTTACCAGGTCATCACTGCATCTAGTGGGGGTCACCCTACACATCGCCTGCAGGTACGAGGCAGCTGCTCGCGAATCTTTTTCCCCTTCGGTTATCGGTTCTTCGTGCTATATGGCCGGCCCATTACCACTTCAGCTTACTAATCCGTTGGGCTATGTCGGTCTCTCTGGTTCTACTGTGGATATCCTCATTTCTAAGTTCATCATGCAGAGAAAACCCGAGCATAACCCTCTCCATAGCTCGCTGAGCGACCTTGAGCATCCTCAAACTGCCAGCTGTGAAGGACCACGTCTTAGATCTATAAGCCATCACTGGCCATACGCACTGGATGTACAATCTAGTTGTCAGGTTCTAAAGTATAGCTGAGGAGAAGATGTGTCATAATTTCCCGAACGCTCCCCAGCCGAGTTGAATCCGTTGATTGACCTCTTGGCCGAAGTTGGACTTACCTAGTCGCACTATCCGTCCCAGGTAAACATACTCTTCAACAACTTTGAGCTTAGTGCTCCCAACAACTACCGGCATAGATGTGCAATGCACTTTACACATGATCTTTGTTTTGTCCATGTTCGTCTTAAGACTTATCCGTTGGAAGGCACTATTGAGGTCATGGAGCATTGTGCTTAGATCCTCCAGCGATTCTGCCATAAGCACTATATTGTTGGCAATATATATATATATATTGCCAACAATATATATATATATATATATATATATATATATATATATATATATATATATATATATATATATATATATATATATATATATATATATATCGTATCGAAGGTGAGTGCAGTAGTTTCAAAAAGTCTTCCAATGCAGCGGTGTAGAGTTTCGGGGATATAACATCACCATGTCTTACACCTTTCTGCAGTTGGAGGTTTTATACTCCAGTTCTGTACTCGCATAGCCGTCGTAGCCCTACTTTACAAATACTTCTTCACTCCGACATACCGACAGTCAACGTGGCACCGCACCGCTGAAGGGACTGTAGCTCCGCCCAAATTTCGACGGAATCAAAGACTTTATCATAGTCCACATACGCCAGGCAAAGTGGCAGATTGTAACTATGATAATAATATATTAATAATACGGGCCTTTGGGTCTTTTGATTCGTGTGAAAAGTTCCCCCCTCATATCTATTTGTGTCGCTAACGTATGTACCCAAACATTTAACCAACCAACAAGCGTGCGTGTAGATCCGGGTATCTAAAGGATCTTAGTTTCTAGAAGTGACATTGCACTTGTAATCTTCTAATCAGAACTTAATTGTAGGTGTCTGTGGGCTGTAGGAGCCACTTACCAGGTTTTTTTTATAGAATAAGGATGACAAACGAGCACACAGTCCACCTGATGGTAAGTGGATGCTGTGACTCATAGACATCTACATTCCTCGATTAAGAATCAAAATGCAGAAACGTTGTCATCCCTGAGGACTAAGATGGAATGCTTCCTTTTCAGTAAAAAGGTCGCAGGTTCTCTATGCTCACTATACGAAATAAAGCAGCATTAAGTTGCGATTTTACGCTGGTATTCTGTGATAGCATGGTCCTGCGTCAGTCGAGCCGACCCATTCGTGCTACAAACATAATATAGCTGCAGTATGGCTCTATAAATCTGGAGAATTTAAAGGCCCTTAAAATATTGGGGCAGGCGGTTTAGGCGCAAATGGTAACGACATGCAACAAAGAAATATATATATATATATATATATATATATATATATATATATATATATATATATATATATATATATTATTCATTACAACAAGAGAAAACAGAATCAAAATCAAAACAATTTTACTACGATTTAATTATAATTACTTTAGCTTTACTAATATTTTGAATCCATTAATGACCTTTCCAAGAATTTGTACAACGACGCATTTCTTGAAATATTTTGATGCGTTATTACTACTCACCACACTAGGAAAAAACAAAACTGGTAATGCTCTTCCCAACCACCAGTAAGTGAGGATTATTGTGATATGTTTGAATGAGCTTACCACTATAATTGCATTGCCAGAACCTCGTTCCTTAAAGAGCAGTTTGCATCTCAATACGATGAAGTTATATGATAGTTATATACATACGTATACTTTAAGGCTATTGACGTTTTATTATTACTTAAAAACAAAATAGCAACCTTAATACGTCTCTATAGCTGGGTATAAGCCAACTCTGATTACCGTTCTGATGCCATTTGAGAACGAACATTTCCCTACGATGTTCTCCTGCATCACTCAGGAAGTAGTAAATAAATATAGAACTCAGTTCGCTCGCGTACCATTAAATTTTAATGCGAGTGTTCAGTCCCCGAGCTACCTGAAGAAGCTAGGAAAGATAATTTATGAATAATAATTCTGAA